TTGGACACTGATTCCATATAGCCCAAATAATGGCGCAGTGGCCGACCACCTGTTTGGGCATGACAATGCGAACATCGCATGATAAACGCATCCAGCTGTTCACCATATATTTCATGTCACCGTCAAGATCGTGTGACTACAGAGTTGTAATGTCTATTAGTGTAATCGGGAACAAATTGACTAGTCTGTGCATTGATACTGGATCAGTAGGTACTTTGGCCTGTCAGCTTTGTATGTGCTTGGTACCTCCCACAAATACACAGCCTTTCGTGTATTCTGTCAGAGTGCGTACTCGTTAACGGTCTGGGCTGAGAGGTGATCTACCCCCGATTGCCTCCATGTTGCCTAGCTCTCCTGTAGCTTTGAGTTTACTGTGCTCGGAATTCCGCCGCGACATGAAACTGAAACCGTCAAACACAATGTTTATCCCGAAGGAGTAGCTCTGCGCGCCATATCGCAATACCAAGACGTGTTCCAAAAATTTCAGCGAGGAACAATGCCTGCCAAGTTGATTGACTAGACCGTCAGCAGGCGTCAAAAAAGTTACAGCTAAGCGAATGGTCTGGTCAGTCCCATCCAGTTTCCTCGATTTTGGAAGATCCACGGAACATGACCCAGGAGAACCACTCCACAGACAGACCAGTTCTCATCGACCATCATCTGGGTTCCCAGTGGCACACAGACCTCTAGCAACGTCACCAATGATCTGCGTGTAGAATGAGCTGACTTGGTGATCGGATGTGCAGGGCCATCTCTGCTGCCTTCAAGTTTTCGTTTGACGCTGCCAGTAGCTCACGGGCTGCGGGACCACCCGTTCCACTCACACACATGGAGACGAGATTTTCAAGGGGTCATCTACTTGCAGGAGCACTCGGGAGCCCACGGGCGTTGAGCGTTCGTTTCCTGTTGACCGAGTGAAAAGGCCGAGCAAACTGAGACATTGCATGGTTCGACAGGCCAGCAACAACACGCCCAATCATGTTTCCACTCTCAAACCGGGTTACTTGATTGAGCTTACCACGGAATCCTCATGACAGGGGGGGAAGATACTGAAATGGCATCCCCAGTCTACATACTAAAGTATGGTCTCGAATGAAAAGGCACGAGGAGGCCGCTAGAACCGGTAAAGTGGCAGGCGAGAAGGTTCCATTCAGGTGCTTGGCAACCGAGATAGTCGGGAGTTAGTGGCTCCTGGGCGAATCCTTTTGGACCGGGTCACTCTAGCGATTTCCTTCGCTACTAATTATCAGATGCCAATGCCCACTGGTCAGGGGGGAAGGCGGAGAATTCTGGCTACGGGATTCGCCCAGTAGACTAGTAGCAGCCCCCCTCCGCATGCTGCATCGTGGCTCTTCCACCCTACTGCAATCATCGTGGGTGGATCGGGTGGGGATCTGGAAGACGAAGGAAGGCCACTCGATGTAGGAAGCGCTCGGAAGGTTTCGAGGTACCATTACAGTTGCTCTTCGCAATTGGACGGACGTCGATGCGGGATTTTCTTGTGCAGAAAAAAAGGTTATCCTGCCGCCAGACCAGTTAGGCTAGTAAGAGAGGTACCGAAGGAAATCAGATCATTAGACAGGAAGTGCAGTAGGCACCGCAGCACGAAGGACCAGAGAGTAAAATATGATCCACCACTAGGGTCGATCAGCAGCGCTCGTCGGCTTTTTGGCGCTCAGCCGGAAATGAAACAGAGGAGGGGAATATCCTTTACGCCGGGAGAATGATGAGTTGTTTGAGAAGGAAAAGTAAAAAGTTAGAATTGTCTGGAGAGAACTTACTTCTCTCGTGGTGTAGATACACCGAACAGGAGGAAGTGGTGGATGATCTGCAAAAAAAAAAGAGGGAGTGGGATGGCTAGGCCGGGACTATCTTCGATCAGCCGCGAAAGTGTTCAGTAATCCGTTCAGTGCAAGTTCAGTTCGCCATTTCCCTTCCCCCCCCTTCTTTTTTCCCATTGTCTGCTTTTCCCCCAAATTTCCAAATGCCCGACCGTCTGGAGCCCCACTGGCTCCAGCATCTCGCCGCCTGCTCTTTTGGTACTCCCTCAATTTGCCCCCCCATACTTAATAATCCGATCATCATCTACTAACGTAACTAGTGGTCACCACTGCTTCTCCGTTAACTACTAGTTAACTTACCTTCTTACTACGGCTACTAATCGCCAGTGTTTCGGCTTCCTTTTCAAGTCCTCACTCACCCTTGTGACTTCCATTGGATTGTCCCGTCGCCCGTTATTTCACTTTTAGTGATTTTCTGATTTCAGGGACTTCCTCTTGACGCACCATTGGTCTCTCCTAAATGGTTTAATTGTCGACGTCCGCCGTCTGACCTCGAATTTCTCTGGTCGGACACACCTCCGCCCCTCATTCACCTTCATGTCGCTACCCCACACCATCTACTCGTATCTAGCATTATCTCCTACACATGGAGGTTCATACGTTGGTTTGTGCGCCGGGGAAGCCTCTTCCCCCCGCACAACCCCAGCTTTCCGCAGCCGCAGCGCCTGAGAAGAGAAAGCGGGTCCGTCGATGGCATCACCGAGGATTTACAGGCTGTTCGACATGTCGTCGACGCCACGTCCGCTGCGATGAAGCATCGCCGTCCTGCAAAAACTGTACACGCCTGGGTCTTGAATGCGATGGCACTCAGGGTCGTATGACCTTCAAAGTCTACGGACCGCCGCAAGCGGATTCGTCTCCCGCCACCGCCAAGAAATGCGACAAAAAGATCAAGAGCGAAGGGGACAAGCAAGTGAAGCAGGAGCCGGCAGGAGACGAGAATGAGCCTTTCGAAACATTAGTTGTGTCTCCAACAACTGTGTCCGACCTGAAGCCTATCAAATATCGCTTCCAAGACCCCATCTCTCCCGCCGAGTTTTTATCCTCGTCACTGGACTGCGTCGAAGGCCGGTATTACACTCATTTCGTCGACCAGGTCTCTACTCTACTCCTCATCTATGATAATTCGAACAACATAAATCCCTACCGAAGATTCTTCCCTGAGCTCGCTCGATCCTCAACGTCAATGGCCAGCGCTATGCAAGCCATGGGTGCGTTGCACCTTGCCAATACATCCAAAGGACAACAGCGAAACAAGCACTTCCAACAAGCCATGAGCAATTATGGCGAGGTTGTCAAGTCCTTCAGAACCCGATATACAGACCCCAACCACAGCGTGCGACTTACGGATTTCGCCACCTGTCTTTTACTGTCACTGTTCGAGGTGAGTCCCTTGTTGTTGACCTGGGCATAACGAGCACACAAAGCTAACTAATCAGATGATGGATTCTCAACATCACAACTGGGCTATCCATCTTAAAGGAGCCCGAGAAATTTACCGAATACTTTTCACCCCTAATGACGACCCAGACAAAGAAGCCAAGCGCCTCGCTGAAATCAATCACCCACTTCGACCCTTCCTCGTATCGCTGCTCTCATACTTAGACGTTGCGGGTGCCTGTGCCACCAGTGAGGGAACTGTGGTGGAAGGCAGCTATTGGACAACACACGGAGGTGGCTGGGAGTACAATCTAGGTACACCGAGCCTGTCGACCGAACAACCTGCTTATAGTCACCATCTTGTTGAACTGCGCCAATGTTGGTCTGCTATGATGGAGATCCAAGCAGCCATCAGTGCCTTTGGAAAAGCGAAACAAGATGGTCTGATGCCGTTCGAACAACAAGACTTGGTTTATCACGAGCTATTACAGCGGCTGGTACAATGGCGTCTGAACGCACCACAGGCACTGCAGATGTTAGGCGAACTAGATGATGAGAGCTTGCGACAATATCCATACCCCGATGTCCTTGAGTATGCCGGGTGTATCGAAGCATATGAAAAGGCCACCAACATATTTCTACATCGGGTTGGAGCAGCAGGCCGTCCTGATATACAGCCCCAAAGGGCGCTGTTAGACATGCTTGCTACGCGAATCTTGGCGTTGATTGGAAAGCTCGCAAAGGACGTGGGTCAGTTGGCGGTACTATGGCCACTCTTTACAGCTGGCCGAGAGTCACGGAACGAGAGCGAGCAGAAATTTGTGCGGCAGACCATGACTGATCTCCAGCGGTTCGGGTTCAAGGTATGTCAAGGATACACGTCAGTAATGATCAAACAAATGCTAATACGACTGCAGAATGTTGATAAGGCCCTTGAGGAACTGGAACAAGCCTGGTTCAAGCAGCGAGCTTTCCCAGAAGGTTGGATTGACACTATGGACGATATACGCTCTTCAATCCTACTCCCTTGAACAAAGCTGCTTCGCGGCTCGGTGATGACGTTCTCTGCGATTCACGACCGCCCTGAGCCATCTTGACGTGGTATTTGACGATTTATAATGGACATAAGTTATATGGAATGGGGAAAATACGGAGTCTATGTATTGGTGTAATACTGGCGTTACTATTTGGGAAACTAAGGTGTTCGGCTGGGCTGGACCCTTAGACTTGGATTTGCGGGGCGTGAGGAAATATCCTTTGCAAATGGTTTGACTATATGTGCTGTTTGGGTGACGGATTTGTGCTGTTTTTATTCTACTGGAGGAGTTGGATCACTGTTGTACAGATACAGACAAGGCTTACTGAAAGTCATATATAGAGTTACACCTTGGCACCCGTGAGAGTTGTCTGCTTCTTACACTGCCTGAAATAGAACAAAATCTAGTATCTGATATCACCATGTGATCATTTGTATGCATCCATCTGTAACTAAAGCAAATCACATTAAGTCTCTGGGTATACCTAAACCCCTCTAGGCTCTATCATATCTACAAAGCAAACTCTTCACTCAACCATATCATGAGGGGAGGATGCAGGCAGTCCAGTCTTTCCTGCCTTCTTTCCCCCACCAAGATCGATCAGTCAACGACCATCTCAACCGATCAACAAACCGCAAAAAAAAAAAAAAAAAAAAAAAGAAAAAAGAAAACTGAAAAATTGAAAAAAAGATGGATAAAAAAAATCGATGAAAAGGGAAAAAAAAAAAAAAAAAAAAAAAAACCAGCATCACCACAACCACCAATCGTAAAATACAACATATAAATTACTGCGGCGTGCGCCACGCGATATTGCACTCAGTTCTCCTCCCTCCCGGAGGAAGACGTCGTCGCCTCAGGCTGTTGATGATGATGATGATGATGATGATGATGATTATCACCACTACCAACTTCCTCGACGGTTTCGGTTGCAGCACCCTTGCTATCGATGAAATGCGAGATGCGGTCAATAGGCAACCAGGCGCTTTCGGGGGTGATGAAGTAGGAAATTAGAGCGAAGATGGTCACACCGGCCATGATGATTGGGGCGTCTGGTCAGAAAGAGAGAGAGTAAGTAAGATGTTTTAGGATGAAGTGAATTGGGAGGGGGTGGGTTCTTACAGTTTAGATTAGCGCCGGTGACGGGAAATTCATAAGGAGAGAATAGCACAGCTACCACCCAGCCGTTCCAGAAGACACCGATGAATTGGAACGGCTTGCTCCAGCGACCGAGACTCCACTCGGGCTTGGGGAAGCGTTTCGGGGTGCAGAGGAGTCGGCCGAGGCAGATGAGCCCGTATGCGGCGGCGCTAGGGACACCGGCGGCGGAGACGAGAGATGTGAAGGCGACGTCGGAGGGTAGGAGCGTGCAGCTTATGAGTGCTGAGACTCCCCAGACTACGATGACGGCATTGCGGGGCTGGCCGTTGTGGACTTTGGAGACCCAGCTGGAGAAGGGGAGGACACCGTCGCGGGCGACGGCGAAGACGAGGCGGGAGGCGGCGACGATGGCGATCGCTGTGTTCTGTAAAGTGGTTTAGTATGTGAATATGTGGTTGAGGGAGCTGTTGGGGGGGGGTGGACTTACGAGCCACAATGCGACTATGCAAATGACGTTCATGAAGATGTGGCCTCCTTTGCCGAGGACGACGGCGTAGAGGGGCACGAATGGTTGAGGAGAGCCGAAGGACATGAGAGTGTCGTTGTCGGGCTGATCATGTCAGTATGGGGCTGTTGGATAATCGTTGCATGGAAGTGGAGGACTAACTGCACAGAAGAGGAACAGAATGATAGTTGCTAGTCCACCAATGCCACTGACGACAGTACTCCAGAAGATACCACGTGCTGCCGTCACCGAAGCATGCTTGGTCTCTTCTGCAACGTGACCAGAGGCGTCGAACCCGATCAGGATACCGGCAGTGGCGAGGTAGGAAAGACACCAGTTCCAGCCTGCAGGGGCACCTGTGGCGTTGTAGGTGGACATGAATGCCTCTTCAGCCGTGCGGAAACCCCATGTGTTGGCGGCGCCAATCGGCAGCCAGATGACATTGAGGAAGAAGTCCAGCATGACGATGAAGGACGAGAAGTAGAACACCCATTTGAAGAACCTAGCTTGAGGACTATAAGCAAATGAACAGAGAAAGGATAGGCGCAACCAGTCTTGGGATTGAACATACGCGGCAGGTAGTTGAGAAGTGCGGCCAATGCCAGCAACACTTCTGTGCAGATCCACTGGACAGCACGAAATTTGACACTGGAAGTGTCTTTCGGGAAGTCGACGTCGAACACCGTCAATTCCTGTGGCGCTGATAAGTAAACTATGTTGAAATATCCGTGAGAGTGACACTTACCGAGAGCATGTAGTTGACAGCAGATTGGGTGTTGCTAGCACAGAAGGTCGTCCAGGCCGTAGTACTCCACCAAGCAACCACAAACCCGAGTAGCCTTCCAAAGCGAGGACCTCCAGACTCCGCGGCCCACAAGTAGATAGAGCCCGCGGAGGGCGAGGCAGAGCATACCTCCGCGATGACAGCAGCGGTAATGTATGTGAAGACCAAAGTGACTAGATAACTCGTCCTACACCGAATGAGACACGATTCATTGCATGGGCAGTGGTAGAGCCTACCAGTAAGCCAGGTTTCCACCTGCTGCGATACCTGTACTATAAGTGACGCGCACTCCTCCAACAAAGTAGAGAGCAGCTAATCATGTGAAATTAGTGACCTTCATGGGCCAAGAATCCGCCGTGATCATTTCACCTACCGAATGTCGTCGAAAAGTTTTCAAGTAATGTGTATGTCCTATGAAGGACCTTTAAAATTGATTAGACAAACCTGCGTGCAATAGGCTTGCTAAGGCTGACTCACTGGCTTATAGCCCATAGATTTCTGTTGGTAGTATATCAGCGATTACTTGTTCGATATCGATATTCGATCGCTAAAAGGAATGCCACTGATAAACATACCAGTAGCTTTGCATCTTCTCGGGACTCTGCCTCGCTCCTGACCTCTTCTCCCCCGGCCGGAACCGTGTCAGGGTCGACGACGAGCTGCGAGTTTTGCTGGTGAGGAGACGGGGCCATGGCTGCCGTTCTGGAAACCAAGGCCAATGCTCAGAGGCTCAAAGGTCCACGTCCAGGAGCGTGCTAATAGAATAATTGAAAGTGAGAAATTTAAGTGAAGATGTTTCTGTCGCAAGTCAGCTGAAAATTGATGATAGACGATCAGGAACCTGCTAACCCCACTCTGTAAGGCGTAAGACAGCAAGAAAAAAAAAGGAACCAAATTAGCCTAGTGGATAAGCTAAAGCATTCGTGCTCCCGGGTTAAACGAGTCAAGATGTCACAAACACTCCCCAGTCTAGCAAGGATATACACTTATCCAGTTCCCTTGTCTTCAATTCAATCTAGTTGACGGGATAGATAGTTGAGGGTTGACCGGAGATGTCTGCTCCGCAAGAGCCAACGGTGAGGGAAAGAAGAATTGTTGAAGCTCACTTTTGCGCTCCACTAGCGAGCCGGAAGAGCGCGCAAATTCCAATCAGGGCCTGTGGGTGGAAGGATGCGACCGCCGTGGGTCAAGAGAGTGTACCTTAAGGAGCCAAGCAAGAAATTAGCTCTGGTAGCATCACCGCAGCGGAGCCGTTCCACGTTTGCGTGAGCCCGTTTGGCCGTGGACGGATCCTTTACGCGCTTCATCGCCTGCTGGGGACAACGCGTGCATGCATGTATGAAATTGTTTATCAAATTGGCACTCGATCTTTCTCGATGGATATAATGATTCGCAAAGTAGGCTGGGTGTCTTCTGGCGCACACAAGACAGCGATTGCTTCAAACCGGTTGAGGGAGGGTGTCAATCGCATCATCATGATTATCTCCATGCCCCACCATGAGTGGAGCGGGATAAAAAGCCGTGCGAGGGGCCCGGCCATCACCAGGACCTGGATCTTGACATCGATTCGAGGCCACTACAACCAACCGTCACTCCAACAATGACTGCTAGACAATATCCAGCTATTTTGCGACGGGGATCAAATCGAACAGCAATCAACGCGGGCTTCCCTGGCACGAGGGGATTTCAAGTATCGCCTCAGGCAGCACTATCTGGAAGAACATGCACGTGACCTCATGGATTAACTTCTTATCAACTACACTTACCATCTAGATCTTATCCTATCGGTATAAATGCCGGGGATGTTTTTCAGCTAGGACCAGTGTGTTCCATTTTGCACTACCTACAAGGATCATATGTTACGCTGCATAGCACGGACATCCCTTCCTCCACCCTAGCAGCCCGAGCTCGCTGGAATCAACATTCACGTGGACAGTCGATCATCCGATTTGCGGAGAGCTGGTTCCTCTGGCATTCGTGATTAGATGCCATCAATGGGTTGTTGTGCTAATATATGATTCTGGCAGCATTTAGGTTTGAGGTCACTAGTCGAGCGGGGAAAGATGCCCATAAACAGCGGTTAAGTGTTCGGGAACTCTTTGATGATCAAAGCCGCAGTTTGCAAACGCAAATGATGATGGAGGTGTCTACACGAACAATGAAGCTGGCAAATATCCAATGACCAACTACCCTGTCTGGCGATTCTACGAGCTCACACGCCTGAACGAGCCGAGTTCACTGCTACCCTTTTAATGAGTTGTCAGATATCACCGCCGGACAAGGTTATAGCTGGACAACTGTTGTGATTCACAATCTCCGAAGGATGGCTCGTGCCCGTCGCACGACATAGTGATATGTAGTCCAGAAGGGTGCTCTGCATGATATGTACAATTATCTCCGATGCGGCGCCTAGACGGCGTTACATCCGGTTGCGGTTGGGCCAGGATTGTAGAAGTAGGAGGACACAGCTTGTCCGACCCGGTTAAATAGTAGCTCAATTATACCGGGAAGAGCTCAAGTCTTCAATGTAGATCCCCATCAGTCGCCAATTCGTTGCAGCACGGGTAACCAGGTCAAGATGATATGAAGACCTTTTTGGGATAGTATTGTATACATAGATATGCGACAGCGGCACGATAGGACCCTATTAATGCAGTCAATACCAGCATAAACCCATGAGAAAAAGTGCTTTGATGGAAGCCGAACAAACGATGGTGGACGATGCCTGATGCCAAGCGGGAGTGACAGCTCAGACTCCGCGAAGCCGATGGCCAGTCAATGGGCCTTCCCCGCGCGCCTTCCCCTCATTTCCTGCAAGTCTTTGGTCACATCACCCACGGCTACTACTATCGTTCTTCGATCCCATGGAGGTGAATTCCGGTCACCGGAGTCATCCTTTCTTTATGCCAAGTTTAGACTCGTGGATAATTGGCATGTTGTGTTCCCGCCATCCCTTGCGCGACGGTGACCTCCCCGCATTTGGAACGATCAATCCCTCTCCTGATTGAATCATGAATCAGGAGTTCTCCCCATATAGCTGTACGTGCCTGCACTCTTCAGCTGATATTTGAATCCACTAACGTCTCTGATTGAATGGGCTTACAGTTCGAAACAATAACCCGCCGTCCTGCCGTCCTTCCTAGCCTGCCCTTCTGTCACACCACCCATGTGGCCCAGACGCCCCCTTCTGCCACATTTGCAGCATTGAGAGTGAGTGGAATGAGGGTTTCTGTGGCAATAGCTTCTATCATTAGAGTCGCCTTGCGTTAGCTGCCAACTTCCGCCATGAGTGTACCGCTGTTTCTGCGCTCGGCGCTGTTGCCATGCCGAGCAGTTCCTGGAGCCTATCCACGGGACTCCCGCTCTATTGTCAAGACCACTCGTGAGTGCTTTTGCTAACCTCATTGAGGGTGGGCCTTAAGACTTACTGACCACCGTCCCATAAGTGCAAGTGCGATGCGTTCCATTGTTAGCCACCAGATACAACGGCTTTGGACAGCTGCCACTTCCGACGTCGTCTCGCAGAAGATACGCTACTGCTGCATCCGCATCGCCGTCCGTCCCAGTCGTACCTTACTCCGCCCTGACCGTTGGTGTACCTCGTGAAACATACCCGAACGAACGTCGTGTTGCCGTGACCCCTCAGAATGTCTCCCTGTTGCTCAAAAAAGGATTCTCGCGTGTGTTGGTAGAACGCGGCGCTGGAGAGGAAGCCAAGCTACACGATCAAGTATACGAACAAGCTGGAGCAACACTAGTCGATCGGGGTTCAATATGGTCTCAGAGCGACATCATTTTGAAGGTCCGTAGTCCTCAGCAGCAAGGTCCCATCGACGAAATCGGAGCACTGCGCCAGGGAAGCACGGTTATTTCGTTCCTGTATCCGGCCCAGAACAAGCCACTGGTCGAGAAACTTGCTTCGCGTGGCGTCACGTCTTTTGCCATGGACATGATACCAAGAATATCTCGCGCACAAACATACGACGCTCTTAGGTATGAGCCATTCATACTGGATACTCACAATGCTGACCACTTAACGATAGTTCCATGGCCAACATTGCTGGGTATAAAGCTGTCTTGGAAGCGTCCAATCATTTTGGCCGGTTCCTGACGGGCCAAGTTACTGCCGCTGGGTAAGTGAGTTCTTACATGTCTCATACATATTTACTAACAATATGCTACTTAGAAAGGTTGTATTCCCTTCTCTTATGATAGGCTATAATACTGAGACGTTCTAGATCTCCCCAGGCAAGGTTTTGGTTATTGGCGCTGGCGTGGCTGGTTTGAGCGCAATCGCATCTGTAGGTCTTTGTTAACGCGTCGACACTGGGGGTCATAGTTAACGGGCATCGTCTAGGCTCGTCGCTTGGGAGCTATTGTTAGAGGCTTCGATACCCGTTCTGCTGCTCGTGAACAAGTCCAGTCCCTTGGTGCCGAGTTCATAGAGGTAGACATCCAAGAGGAAGGATCAGGCCAAGGTGGATATGCCAAAGAGATGTCGAAGGAATTCATTGAAGCGGAGATGAAGCTTTTCATGGAACAAGCTCGGGAAGTAGATATCATTATCACGACTGCTCTCATCCCTGGAAAGCCTGCACCTAAGCTCATTACGAAAGAGGTAAGAACCATATCCCAGGATGCATCGAAACCTACTCACAGTTCTAGATGGTTGCTGCAATGAAACCTGGATCTGTCATCGTCGATCTTGCCGCGGAAGCAGGCGGGAACTGCGAAGCAACAGTTCCTGGCGAATTGACTAAATTTCAAGACGTGACTGTTATTGGTATGCTGCTTCCAGATGTTTAGAGATACAGTACTGATGAGTTCTAGGATATACTGACTTGCCGTCGCGTCTCCCAACTCAATCATCTACATTGTATTCCAACAACATTATCAAATACCTGTTGTCCATGTCCCCTCAAGAAAAGTCCTTTGGCATTGATCTAGCGGACGAGGTCGTTCGTGGGTCTATCGTTACACACGATGGAAAGATCATACCGCCAGCCCCACGGCCAGTACCACCTCCCGCACCTAAGCAAGAGATCCCCGCGCCTGCCAAAGAAAAAGCAGAACTGGCAATTTCGCCTTGGCAGAAGGCTACGCGCGATGTTACTGCCACTACCGCTGGTATGGGGACTGCTCTTGCGCTGGGCAAGGCTACAGGACCGGTGTTCATGAGCAACATGTTGACGTTTGGTCTTGCTGGTCTGGTCGGCTATCGTGCAGTGTGGGGTGTTGCGCCGGCTCTTCATTCCCCCCTAATGAGCGTTACAAATGCGATATCTGGTGAGTATGCCGAATATTCATTCCGTTGTTTTACTGATGCTGACTGCCTCAGGTATGGTCGGAATTGGCGGTTTCTTCATTATGGGCGGAGGCTACGTGCCCAGCACGATACCCGAAGCCCTAGGTGCTGCTTCAGTTCTACTGGCATTCATGAATGTATCAGGTGGATTCGTTATCACCAAACGCATGTTGGATATGTTCAAGCGTTAGTGTTGGAGCACATAATGTTGACGATATCCGCTCACACAGTGTCCAGGTCCGACTGATCCGCCTGAATACCCTTGGCTTTACGCTATTCCAGCTGTGCTGTTTGGTGGGGGCTTCCTTGCTGCTGCCAGCACTGGAATGGCGGGGCTTGTGCAAGCCGGTTATCTTGTCAGCAGTGTTCTCTGTATTGGTAAGTGCTTTTTGTGCTGACAATTCCATTGCTAATATCAGTAGCCTCGATCTCGGGTCTTGCTTCTCAGCAAACCGCTAGGCGTGGGAATATCCTTGGAATACTCGGAGTCGCAGCTGGAATCATTGCTTCTTTGGCAGCTGTAGGGTTCTCGCCCGAAGTGTTAACCCAATTTGGCGCGGTGGCTGGCCTAGGTTCTGTCGCTGGTATGTAAAGCACTCATATGACGGACTTTCCTAACCGGTCAACAGGAGCTCTCATAGGACGACGAATCACACCAACTGGGCTTCCCCAGACCGTTGCTGCTCTCCATTCTGTGGTTGGGCTCGCGGCTGTCCTTACAAGCATAGGGAGCGTAGTGGCTGACATTTCTCACGTATCCACATTGCACATGGTGACGGCGTATCTGGGCGTTCTGATCGGTACGTATATCCCACGTGAGCAGGAACTTTCTAACCGTAGTAGGTGGTGTTACCTTTACTGGTTCTATTGTGGCTTTCCTGAAGCTCGCCGGACGTATGTCTTCGCGACCTATGATACTACCTGGTAGACACTTGATCAACACGAGTCTGCTTGGAAGTAATGTGGCCACAATGGGAGCCTTTGTTACAATGGCACCTGGATCCCCAGCGATTGCAGCGACGTGCTTAGGCGCAAATACCCTGCTTAGTTTCTTGAAAGGTTATACTACGACCGCTGCCATTGGTGGGGCTGATATGCGTAAGTGCTCGACCCTAGGTGACGTGCCTTGCTGACCAACGCAGCGGTGGTGATTACCGTTTTGAATGCATACTCTGGATTTGCTCTGGTTGCTGAAGGCTTCATGCTCAATAACCCCCTCCTCACCAGTGTAGGCTCTTTGATTGGAGTTAGCGGTTCGATTTTGTCCTACATTATGGTAGGCATTCTCGATTAGACTATTGCTCGGAAGATTCTAACCATGCCAGTGCGTCGCTATGAACCGCTCGCTTACCAATGTCTTGTTTGGCGGCATTGCAGCTCCTCAGCAAGCAAAGAAGATCGAAGGCGAGGTAGTCCAGGCAACTGTCGACGATACGGTGGAAGCATTGTCAAATGCAGAAAGCGTCATAATTGTGCGTATGAGCTTTGAAGTGATGAACATGGCTAATGGGTATAGGTTGTTGGATACGGCATGGCTGTAGCGAAGGCGCAGTATGCCCTGGCTGAGATCGTGCGTATGCTACGTACCAGAGGTGTTACTGTGCGATTCGCCATCCATCCTGTTGCAGGCAGGATGCCAGGTCAATGCAATGTGCTTCTGGCGGAGGCGTCGGTTCCTTACGATAGTAGGTACAACACCCGAGCACCTCGGCGAGGCTAACCAGAATAGTCGTGCTCGAAATGGATGAGATAAACGATGACTTCCCGGACACTGACGTTACCCTTGTCATCGGCGCTAATGACACGGTCAATCCAATCGCCCTGGAGCCTGACTCGCCGATCTCGGGTATGCCAGTACTGCATGCGTGGAAGAGCAAGGAGGTTGTTGTGATGAAGCGCAGCATGTCCAGCGGATACGGTAAGTGTCTTTGACTCATGGGATGAACAAGCGCTAATCGTGCAGCCGACGTACCAAACCCGATGTTCTTCATGCCTGGAACGAGGATGCTTTTTGGAGACGCCAAGACCTCTTGCGATGGTGAGCTACCCTGCTATTGAAAGAAGACTAAGCTAACATGTTGCAGCTATCAAATCTGCTCTCGAGGCGCGTAAATAGTTGCTACTAGTTTCTTGAATTATTCGTTCATGACCTTTGATGTTGGATGAGCGTTGGATGATTTGGGATGATTCTAGTTACATTCAAGTCCATAGTACATTTGACATGAGCAAATACAAGGCCAATTCTTACGTATCAAGCATCGCTACCTCCTACCCCAAAATGGCAGGTACCTTCCGCTTCACATGACCGGAAAAGCGCCCAACAGTATCATGGTAGTCCGACTAATGTATGGTATTATTGCATTGGGCTCTTTCTGCATTGGGCTCTTTCTGCATTGTCAAACGCCTTCGATAACTCAAGTTCTCTGAGATCCGGAAATACTAGAAATCCCAGACGGACATCGGCACTAGTATATGGCACTGTAGTGTGGTGTGTCCATTCGATTTAGGAACTCGATTTTTTCAGCTGATAGCTCGTTATACTCCTTCGCCATTTCATCGGGGACCGGCGACACTGTTAGATTCGTCGCAACCAGGGGGTTGCAACTGTCGGAAAGCTGCCGTGCTTGCCTTTCACGAGTAGTGCAACCAGTTATGGACACAGAGGATCTAGAGGAGTGGAATCATATGGTGGTGTCTTGCATCATATCATCCATTGAATAGATCATTTATGTTGACATCAGAAGAGAAGAAAAGCAGAAGCAGTCCTTCTTCTTCTTCTCTGCGTTTGCGGTGTGTAAAGTCCAGAAACTGGGTGCACTCATTGGTAGGGAGACAGCAATTTCCTTCTTTAAGGCATTGGGTATGGATTGTACAATTTGTTTTGATATCATAAGTCTCGGTCTTATCGATCTGAGCATGAAAGATTTTCTCGGTCTTTTCGACCTGAGGGTGCAGCAAGTACATTTCCTTGCGACCTGGTGTTAATTCTCTGATAACGGCTGGCTCATTGCCAACCGTACTAGAAGCTCAATCGGCGCAGTCTCCTTTTTTTCAAAGCTGTACAGCTTAGACTGTAGAATAAGCATCCGAGTCCCACGCATACAGACATGAAAATAACGGAAATTCTGGGGACCCGGAAATGACAGAAGGAGAAGGGGAAACGTCTTTTCATCCCCAAACTCCCGAGGCATGGACTTTATAGTCTCAATATCCTCCTCAAACAAAGCCTTATCTTCTGGAACCCGAGGCTGAAGAGCCCGGCATTGCATAGCAGATATAATCACTGCGAGTTCCTCGTAGAGCATGGAGCTCTCTTTCCCGCAATGCGATAGAGCTAGGCCAATGGTAAGATGGGGATAGATACGGTGGCCATCAACCATATCTGGCTCGATCCGAAGAATTGCTCCCCAATGGTCGTGAACGGAAGGGTATGCCCCAAACAGCTCGCAGCCTAGATAGAACGGATCGGGCCAGCTATAGGAGGTTCTTTAGTTAAATGATCTAGTTAAAAGAAGAGTCCAATAGCCTTCTTGCACTTACTATATGTTTTTCAGTTTTCTTCGCCTAATTAGTACTTCATCTAAAGTTTTCGCGTTTTCTCTTGCTCCGCATTGACCCACGGAGTCTTCCACCCAATTCATTAAATGGTAGGCCCATTGGTATATATAAGTTTTCCGTGCATTTGGCGATTCACCTTGAATGGCGGGGTCGTAGTGCATCATTCTCGGCTGTTTTGATGCTAAAATGGGGTACTTTTCAAGCTCCGCTCGGGACATGGGTTGAAAAAGAATTGGGACATCAGCAGAAGGAAACAGTGTTCGTGGCCCATATATATCTGCTCCTGTAATTCCCTGTCCTTCATTCTCAAGGTTTTCAAGAGAATATGGTCCCATATGACTGCGATCAATTTGGTACTGATCCAGGACTATATCACTTACTTGATTCTCTTTATCCACCAGCACTTCAGGGGTCTTCACCACCAATTCCTTCCAAAGACGTTCGATTTGCTCAGCTATGTTGTTGCTAGGCATTTTGTCGTTTAATTGAATATGAGGGCGTTCTCGTTGTTAGTTTGGTTGGTGGTGTTGAAGAGTTGAGTTGAGTCGAAACGGTGTGTGTGGTGGGTGGGCGTGGCTGGTCACCTGATACTGAATGATTCACTATCTACGCAAGCTTTACCAATAATACTCCATACCATGTAATAAAGTATTATTAGTACTAGGCTCCTCGGCACTGAGGTCCGGCTCCGTTTCAGCGTATCAGCAAATGTAGGCCCGGGCTTGTGCGCAGCTCATCTGGCGTTCTCTGAAGCCTGTAAACATATCAGGATGATCTATGCGAAAATAGCCATGAGACGAGTCTTTTTGAGTAGCCTAGCCTAGCTGCATGTCGGCTTGAAAAGGAAGTTTGGAAGGCCGCTTATTCCGTATTATCTGTCCACCTTGCTGCAAGCCCATAGCCAATAGCCTCCGTCAGCATGTATGATAGTCGACTAAGTAGTTCGAATAATAACTACTAATTTATGAGTAGATGACCGTATGTGATTGATCCGCTATAGGCTAGCACGTTGCAATTAAGTTTGCATATAATATCTGCAAATTATTTCTTCGCCTGCCTTTACTATAACTCCCTATATCTAGGAGCCAGAGCATACATTCAGATTCGTCTATTAATATTCTGGCTCTCTGGCCTGTCGTTGTGTTCTTAGCACGATAAGAGCGCATATATCAAGGCCACTCTGAAGCCGTTCTTTGCGACCCAGTATGCTGGACGTATGACTAAAGTGAAATAGCAAGCAGGATCGTAGACACCTGCAATACTTGGCGTCTATTCCCTATATCGTAGGGACCGTATCTTTGCATCGTCATCAGGCTGGGTTGCCTCGTCCCACCTCCACCACGGCCATCTAGGTAGTCCGCCCAAGAATTGTCATATACTGCGAAGGTTATCCATATTTCGCATCCATCCTTTGAAACTAGAACCCGACTATGCCAATTCGTTACTAGCGTGTTCATATTGGTTAGGTTGCGGGTGGCTTACTGGTGTGTATTGATACTTCTATCAGTATCAGGATACCGGCTGACCCAAGCTACAACCTCAGCAGCCTCCTGCATGTCGACTGCCTTGCCCATGATGTTGCGAGGGTATCCCTTGCATTTAATCACAGACTTGATGTTACCTGTCTGCTTATCTTGCAATTGTCCATCTGTGATTGCAACAAACTGGGGAGGAGACTCGCCTGAACGAAGATTATGATTACCGAATGTTCCCCTCAAACGGATTCTGGTGCTACGCCACTCGGAGGTAGTCGTGCTAGGTAACAAGGAAAGCGCCTGGAGTAGCTTGATCAGACTAGAATTAACAGGAGTTTTATCAGAGCACTTAAGCGGATCAGTCCTGTTTCTAAGGCCTTCCAGTACTTCCCACTGTTGAACGAGAGTAGTGCCAAATTCTCCCAGGCCCCGGAAGTTGTTTGTGCCGACTTGGTTGAGGTAGGCTTGAAAGCCTTGGGACATTGCTAATGTATCAGAGGCTGTAGTTAAGTCAAGACCATAGTCAGCAGGATTAAAATAGTCTGGATAAATGGATTGGGGGCAAATAGTTCTAAAGAGCATAAATTGCTCATCGTTGACGCAAGATCCTGACTGGAGTTTCTTGCAGTGTCGCAGCGACTTGTGCAAAAGGCCGGCCCGCTTGGCATATTGTACCCATTGCTCTCTGTTGCGAGGAAGATCATCGATAAATTTTTCGAGAGACATGATCTACAACGAATATCAGAAAGACCCAAAGACAAAGACCGTGTTTATGGGTGTGTGTGTGAGTGTGTGGGTATGTGAGGAGGGTGTTTATCTTGGGAGCGAAGAGAATCTAGAGGAGACTTCAGCAGAACTCATCCGTCTGGCAAGCAGCGCCAAGTATACTACTAGAGGCAAGCACGTCCCGGTGTACTGTAATTTAAAAGAACCGATACACCGTTTTGAGCGGAATCGCTGGCTACACTCACCCCGTTACGTCTTAAAGTTTCCGAGACGTAATGGTTCTGTGTCTCATTCTTAATGTCTCTTTGAAAGAAAAGGGAGGCCCCCTTGTAGCTGTATAATGGGGTCTTTCAGCCATATACCGCACTTATTGTCATTACTTTAAGCTGGTGGCTGCGAAAGACTATTCAATATCAGCCGGTTCCATTCAGAAGCCCTTAAGGCACCCTGCTTAGCTGTATACTCCCAGTTGACGGTTAGGTGGTCAGCGTGTCTTCTGTCTCGTTAGTCGTTAGGCTTTAGCCATGTCAATTAGAATATAATATAGCACTATTTGCGCGGTATTTCTAGAACAAATGTACGAGGAGCGTCAAACGTAACTCATCTAAGCAAAGAAGTCACATTTCGCTGTGAAAGATTGCTTCACATATAATTCCGGTCGCCCATTATATGTCTAGCTGATACAAATAAAAATTTGCTGGACAATGCGTTAACGCTAGAGTCCCGTTTCAGTGAAGGAATGACTTGTAAAGGTTAGGTGGTTTGGAAGTTATTTTTGTTGTAGCTGCTAAATCCGAGTAAACCAGGGAAAACCATGACCGATAGAGCATCATAGATGTTTGGTGACCAGATGTTGGAGGTTGCAAAGAGAGAGAGAAGAAGGAGAAGAAGAGGGGGGAAAGGTGCCTTATATACCCCAGCGCCACTCAATCGAGTGCATTAACTAGTCCAATCAACGATGAATAACATCCCATCTTTATTCATCTCCCAACTTCGCTTACAAGCCACTCACCCAATCAAACTATTCCCATTGAATTCCGTTCCCACATAATATCAAGGCATATTCACCCTGTCCCCCCATCCTCCATTCCACAAAGATCATCATACAGAGACATGAATAGACACGACTCATTCCCCAACCTTTCCACATCGCTTAGGACAAGAAAAATGACACGCTTAGCTGAAAAGCCACGCATCCCGGCTTCCCACGAGTCAGTTGTTCCCGCGCAAACTCTCCGAGTCATGACATGTCAAGCCACGTCAAACCCACAAAAAGAAGACATGAAGAGATATGAAACTTAATGCGCAGATTGATCGACAGCCAGATAGACAAAAAATGATCATTCGGACTTCGGCACCACAGCCCGAGCCCTAATTCCGTGCATCATGGTTCGTACCAGGCAACTAAAACTAAACGATGGGGTTTGGTTGGATGGAGGAAATTATCCGGGAGCTGAACGTGGCTCGAGCGAGCGAGCGAGCCGGTTAGCGTACCATTGTTTATCTACTCTCTCTAACTGACTATCAAAATATCTAGACACTAGACAGATACTTAGTTAGTAAATACTTAGTTAGCCAGGTTGAGGCACATTAGATTCTAAGCGATGTGCCCGTGCCCGCGTCAAGGATCCACCCGTATATCCTTCATTTGAATTTATCCTGTCTACGTACCCTGAAACTTGGATCTGGATGCACGGGTACGTATACGTCTAAATGAAATGCCGAAGAACGATCCATATACTATCTATTTAGTTTCTACTTGCTTCCCGCGCCAATATATGGTTCATATATCCGTAGATTATGTTTTAATATACTATGTTTATTGTTTGGGCGATCTTAATCTTTACGCTCATTCAATTCAATATAATTAGATTATGTCGGGGTCGGGGATAGGGGTTCAGGGTCATTTCTTGATTATATCTGTCTTAAGTTGTATTAAAATCACCAAAGAGGGAGAGAGGTGCGTGTATGAGAAGGCAAAGGTATACGAGCAGACAGCAACAGGCAACTAAAATCTCAATGGCAATGTTTGGTACGTAGATCGCAACCGAGATGAAGTGGATCGGGGAACGAGTCAGATCTCATCGCCATCTTTTCCCATATCCAGATCTGACCCAAATCTTGGGCCGGTCAGCTGGGTTGGTTCGTTCCCGTGGATGAAGGCGGTAGGTGCCGCAGATGGATTGCCGATGGAAGGATTGTGGAAGATTCGGTGATGATTGACGTGACGGGTACTTATGCAATTGTTTCAGCGTGATGATCTCGAGTCAGTTTACTGTTCGTCTACTTTGTACGTACGCGGGAGGAAATGAAAGATGGATAGATAGAGATGGTATGTTCAACATTTTTGAATGGGCCCACTCCGGGAAGACCACTGCTGTTTGTTTCCTTCTTATAGTACAGAAAATAAAACACTAGAGTAATATAGTAGCAGGAAAGTAGCATCCAGTGCGAATAAACAAAAACAAAATTCAGATCAAAGTAGCCGCCTGACCCAGATCCCTAAACCCTTAATCCCGCTAACCGAACGCCGTCATAGCCGATTTGCCCCAAACCGGTAGTTAAACAGATGAATATGAAACACTAGTTCCAACAAATTGACAAACAAAATTAAGCATTAAGACTTTTGAATGGTGGACTTTCTCCGCCCTCGCAGCATGAACCCCATGAAACTCTTGGGAGTTGTTGGGAGCGGTTCGGTTGTCGTGCTCTCGAGCTTAGGTTGCTTGCTGCGCCGAAAACTCTTCTTCCGCCGCGCCGTCTTGGCAACTTCTGTCTCGGCGGTTTCCCGTGGTTCCAGGCTGTGCACGCTCTCCACTTCCGATCGCAGGCTGCTGGCTGAGTATACGCTCGATGCAGTTGAGCTCTTCATGATCGAGTTACGCAATGGTGGCCGCTGTGAGATGTTGCCGGGGACGCTCGACACGCTGTATGATGAACCCGAGCGGTGTCGGTTGAATGTAGGCGAGGAGTAGTATGGTGCTGGACTGGATGTGCGCGAGGGTGGCTGGCTCATGTCCGAGCTGGCGATCGAGTGGGACACAGAGGTGGACCGAGCGTGGTACTCATCGCTAGGATATGCAGGGGTTCGTCTGGTGCTCGGGAACAGAGAGTAACCACCACCAGCACCACCGACACTTTGCATAGATGGCGGACGGCGGAGGAGACCCGCTTTGGGACCGCGTTTCGATGCACTGTCGGCGGACGTCTGCGGTCGATTCCACGTCATAGCACGCGAGCGCATGGTCATCGGCTGGGCAGTTTCAGGAACGTCCGCAAGAGCTCGGGGCATTGTGAAGGGGTCCGTATCGGCCCGTTTGGGGGCTTGTTTCGCATATTTGCTGTGCAGCTGCAAGCTGCCGCGCTTGATGTGACCCAGGTAGTCGGGCCGTTTGTCGCTCAACAAAGGCTGTGATTTGGTTCCCTGGTTCAAGGAATAGAGACCTTGGCCCGGTGGGAAGCGATCGGGAACGTCTGCAGAAACAGCAGAAACTGCCGACATGGGTTCAGGTTCTTCGACCACTGATCCGTCGGTGACGGGACTGATTAGGATTAGATTAGGTTTGGCGCAGGGTTCCATAAATTTGACCTGCTCTGCTACGAGCACGTCTGTCTCTTCATCCGACTCGCTGAGGGCCGGAGACGGAGATCGTGACTGTTGCGACAGGGGAGACGCCGGAGGTTGGTAGACTGTGGGCTGAAGGAAGATGGGAGATTGCAAAGGAGAGGTAGCACTAGGGGAGGGCAGTTCAATGATCACGTCGTCATCGTCGTCAAAAATGTACGAATCTGGTACAAATGTCGTTCCACTGCTTCGTTTCACCGTATCCATGGATACGGGTCGACTTTGTTTGCCGGATGGATAGGCTGACAGGAGGCGGGCGAATGACGACTTGTCGATTGGCGACTCTGGGGAATTCACATTGGAAAGCTCATCTGCACTGGTATCCGAGTCGAAGGGACCGGCAGTCTTGATAGGCGAAAAGGCATGGTCATGGGCCCCATATTCTGATTCTGACGTCTCCTCTTCTTCCGATTCGTAGCGCCGGGGAAGCAACTGTTCATTGAGATAATCCAAATCAAGAGGTGCTGTAGTAGAATACATGTTGGGTAGTTGAGGAGGGATGGATGTAGAATGGGAAGGAAGAGGAGGAAGAAATAAGAAATAAGAAGAAAAAGGAAAGATGATAAAAAGAAATTAATTAAAAAAAGGGGACCCTCTGTACGCCCCCGAGGTCGATAATCAAAGATTATATGGACGGGGATATGGGTGAGGTGAGAGAGGTGAGAGGGATGGTAGCAATGCAGTTAGTGTTGTCAAGGGTCACCCATGCAACAATAACAGCAACGAGGAAAGGAGGAGTGAAAGGAACGTGAGATGACGAGAGATGGAGAGAGAGATGAAGCGTCACAGAAATAGATGTTGAGAAAAATCCGCCAGGGGAAGCCAGTAAGAGCCGACAGGAGGCAAACGGATATCAAATATACCGGACAGGGACCAGACAGGGTATATTGACCACACGGGATGGCATGCTCGTAACGGAGTGGATCCGACCCTGGAGGTTTGTCTTGAACGAAGCCACCGAAATGCCATTCGATCACACAACCTCCGGAGTGGACGGACCATGAGCAGATCCACCGTGACGAAGGATACTAAGATACTAACAAACTAACTAACTAACTAACTAAAAGGGAGGGAAAATAGTTAGGGAATCTGCAGGGAATGGGAAGAAGCAAGTGTGCATGACACGTGCGCCACCACCAAACTTAGGCGCTTTACACTTACTGGACTTACTCCTGTGCCTCGCCTATCCCGAATATACGTGTTGGTGACCCCTAAGAATCCAGGACGAGCCGCGTTAAAGCTTCACGGGAATGAGGGGAGGGCGTGCTTACGTCCTCTCTCCATCCTTACCTGACTCTCCTGCAGCAGCGAAAAAAGTGGTCCGTTGCCTCAGGATGCTCGGGATCAGGGACGTGGACAACCCTTGCATGTGCGGTTCTTGACTAAAACCCTGGCCAGGAGCAGCAATGATAGTCGGGCTCGGTCATAAGTAACTATCTTGCTGTGTACGGAGTACGGAGAAGACGGAGAAGGTTAAACTAAACAGAAAAATTAAAAAGGAACAAAAAAAAAAGCTATCCAAGAAATTCGGGACTCGTTTGCCGGGGAGGAAAAAGTCTGGAGAGGAGTCAAGCGCCACGGGACCCGATATTGGATGGATGGGGAAAAGGGCAAACGAATTAGACGTGTCCACGGGCGCAGTCGGGAGGTCAAAGGTCAGTGCTTGACTTTTTCTCTGCCAGTTTGAACTAAACTCTTCATCTCCAAATGCAAATGGAATGGGCGTGGCGTGCAGATGGCGGCCACATCTAGATTGCTTTTACTCCCGCCAAGAATCCAGCAATCCGTAGTCAATTGGGGCCATGTGGATGCATTACTTCATCATGCCTGTTATTTTCCCCTGTCCTTTCTAACCCTTAAGATCCTTTGTATTATTATCTTAAGTCATCGTTTTCTTGCTTGCTTTGTGATACACGCTGTTACTTTCTCGGAGTTAGTTAACTAACTAGCGTCTTAGTCACAGCTTTAGTCGGGGCAGAGCGAAGTGGTCGAGCGTTGTTGGGGATCCACTGCAGAATTCGCAGGCAGTGGAGGATCCCCTTTTTAGCGGTGGTTGCTAATTATTGGGAAAGTCCCCCAGAGAAATGACACGGCGCATTGATCCCATCTTTTTGATAGACCTAGTCTAAAGTAGGATGGATTCACTAACTATCTTGTCTATTCCTCAACCTCGATCTCGATCGCAGTCATCATCCCAATTTTCCATCAATTGCGGTACTACACCAACACCCAACAACAACCCGTTATCAGCAAACATCAACATAAGCGTCATCTCAATCTGATACATTTCCTGCCCCTGGTTCCTGGCATTGGATGAACTCCGGGAACCGTTTCCCAACTCCCAAGCAACGCCGCTGCTCCAGCCCAGTGGAGCATGTCTAATTCAAACACACCAGACCCCTCAAGCAATGGAAGTAAAAAAAATCAAAAAGAAAAAAATTAGGGAACTATCTTCCCGTCCGGTGTTCGTAAATTTTTCTTATTTTTTTTTTCTTTTCTTTTCTTCTGTTTACGTGCGTTCCCACCCCCTTTCTTCCTCTTCCCACTCTATGCCCACTTTTCAGTGGGTGGTCCGGTTCATGCCGTGATGGGGTTATCCAATTGCCCGACCGTCGAATGGGAGAATTTTCGCTTTTCCTTTGGTACATACACACACACACACTCTCTCTCTCGCATGGACTGCTAGATACCCGCAGCAATAGACGCGGACCTCCCTGCAGACGGGATGCATTCAAGGGAGGTTCTGCATCCACCTACGGAGTCGAGATGCTGGTGGTGGTAGTATAATAAGCAAGTGAGATCACCGGGTAACAAAACAAATTAAACAGATCTCCAGGACTACAACATATAGTAAGGGGAAGACCCCTCCAACAAATGAGTAAATAAACAAAAGTAATCATACATACACTACATAGTACTACTTAACTAGGTACAGAGTAGAAGAAGGAAAAACAGGCAATAGGTTGAGGAAAATCCATCAATCAATCCAATCCAATCCATCAGTGCACACCGTCGATGATCCCCGCCGAGGCGGTTGGAAAATCATCGGGCGTCATCGGTAGATTAACGACATCCCGAAATAGACATGATTGTCGGATCATCACCGCGGTTAGTCTCCGTCTATACACGTACTTTCACTCTAATCAGTTGTTCTTTTAGTGGGAGACGGGAGCAGAGCAGAGTGTGAGAAAAAGTCAACGGCCGAACCTCCTCCGGACTTATGCAGGAACGCAGCTAACGGTGGTTGCAGTGTGAAACAGCCGAGCGGCATGAGAGGAGGGGGGCGGCCAAGGGGGATGGACTGCTAACTGCTCAACTGCTAACTGTTAAGCTAATTGCTCACTGCATGAGCGGATACGGATTTCGGCACGGTGGGAGACTCCGTTCTTGACAAAGGATTATCTGTCCTTCCTGAATGGTGTACAGTATATGTGGTGTGTACCGAGTAGATTATAGGGAGCTAGCTAGCTAGCTCGCTCGCTCGCTCGCTCTCTCCATCATCGCCAACGGGCGCATGTGGCTGGGATGCAATGCACAGTTACAGATAAGACATACATACTTACCAGAACTTCATACCGGGCATCGACGGAGCAAGGACATCACGGAAGTCCCCTTATCGACTCGACTACTGGATACTTACTCCATGAGGTGAAGTATAGTATATTTTTAGCACCTCTTAACTTATACTATTGTTCCTCCTTACTTCGTCTCAAGTGGTCTTCTCGCTGATTTACTTTGTCCCAGCCAAGCGACCACAGCGCAAACAAAGTCACCAGAATGTCCATTGTCGCTGCTGGTCTTAGCGCAAGATTGAGTTGATAATCATCACTGCCACCGACGCCAATGCTCATTTGACTTTCCAACCCCATGATATATCTCCAGACTTTTCCAACCCGCATGTCAGTGCACATCACCAGACGTATCATCTGCACGTACCCCCCAACCACCCAGACACAAATGATTTGACTCGAGTCTGACGTGGACGTGAAGTTTATGGCTGCCACCACTCACTCTGCCCTTCTATGGAGGTTTATTTTGGGGATGCGATATCACGCCCCTGAATGATACGCTATATCCATTGGGTTCAGGCTGCTGCTTTAAACTCTAGGAAACCGGTTTCCAGCCATTATGTATACATTCGTCACATCGCATGGACAATCCTTTAACTTGTTAAACAACTGCAGCAACATTCAGCTTCGTATCGCGCGAACCTGTTCGAATAAAGTTACGTCGACACACCTGGTTCATGAAACACTCACCCACACACACCCACAGTTCAAGACCCAAACAAGGTTACCGGCAAAGATCCCCTATCCTACCAAGTTCTCACAAAAAGCCGGGCTCCTCATACTCAATATATTGATTCTCTATGTGCAGATAAGAAACACCTCTGTTGTGGTACAACATTCGGTGATCCCAAACCCCCGGGTGTCTCAATGACCAATTAGCGCTATAATGGGCGTTTCAGGTTAGCTATATATGGATGAGGGCGCACCAACGCTCGATGATGAAACTTCGGACAATAACCTTCTTGCATGGTGTGTCCACTACTATTTTCCTAGTAGACTAGGTTTGTGTGACAGTTGGAATAAAATTGGAGGGTGGCTGCACTTGTTGGGGAAGGGGGGATTATCCTGTCTGTGTGATGTGATGAGTCGGGTACTTTGCTTACATACCTTTTAGGCTAGGCAGAAGGAGGGGGTGCGGACTGAATATCACTCATGGGAGAATTACATGTCTTGTCTACTGCGTGAAAGACAGAAAGTTGCCGGGACAGGGGGGGGGGGATGGGGGAGACATACTGTACCGTGCTACTGTCATCCCATCACGTACCACCTACTCAGCACAGTCTCTCCACAGTCCACACACTAACAATCTTTTACTTATACTACGGCATCCAAAGACAGATAGAGACATACACTCCGGATTACCCACCATGGCACCAAGACTGCTAAGTGCTAACATCCCACTCCCCACCAGTGGAGTCATTCCAACGGCGCACTTCTCCAATCTAGGTAGCTAGATTAGTCCTTATTGTACAACTAAATGATACTAAGAGGGACATTTTTAGAAACAGCCACCACCCCCATCACCCTCATCACCACCGTCATACCCACATAGTAACCTACGTAGCACAAGTACACAAGATAAAAAAGGTAGCAAGCAACTATTGAACGCCCCAGTCCATGTCCATCTTACTTAGTGCTACGTTACCCCCTCCCAGTTCCACTTGAGCTAGCTAGCTAAGTTGAACTATCGACTCTAATCCCTGTTATTTTCCCCTTCTTCTTCAGAATTTGTCTCGTTAGTGCGGTTACCGTTACCGAATCGATGCATGGCCGTTTTATACCACAGTCCCAGTTCCAGTTCCACACATACTAGCACTCACTGCTATTGGTATAGTGTACGCAGCAGGTATAGTGGAGTCGGAATCAAACTAAGTTAGGTAAGTGAATTTTACTTAGGTAAGGTGGAGGTGAAGGTTTTTTTGCGTCGGAGAAGGGGAGGGTGGAATCGCCAACCATGGCATGTCTTTCTCTTTTTTTTTTTTTTTTTTTTTTTTTTTTTTTTGGCCTTGGCAAATGGATATGATATGATATGACAGGTGGTGGGTGGGTAACTGGGTGGGGATGGATTCTTTCTCCTTCTTTTTTGCTTTACCGAGCTAAGGGGAGGGGATGGGGGGTCGTGGGACATGGGGGCGTGAGGTATGGCATGCGTGCGTTGGACGTGTAAATAGCCTAGCCTACTTGGTTATCTTCTCTGTACAAGGGAGGAGGAGGGGGATGGAAGGATGGAGGTGTCAAGTGCGGATAAGGAATCAAGGAGGGGTTGAAGGGAGGTACCTACTCCGTAGGTGTCTGGGTCTTGGCACATTCTACGCGGTTGTGACTGACTACCTCTGCAAGTAGCAAGCATTCTTTGCGTCTGCTTTATCTAACCATCCCTGGATTTGATTGATCGTGTGATGGTTATGCTTATTGTTAAGTTTGAATCAAGGTGGGTAGATCGGGTATGTGATGATGGTATGGAGGGGTAAGGGAGGGAGTTAGGTTGTCCTGCATACCTAGGATCTCTGATCGTGAGTATAGATAGGTGACCGGTATGGCATTCTGCAGGGTAAAAGTAGGTCACGTCTTGTCTATGGAGGGAATGTTCGATGTGACAGATGTTTCTGGTTAACCGTGGTTGAAATAGTTAATGATGTCAGTGTCTGAGATGGAGTGGGTGGGGGTTCTACTTTCATCCCTTGTGTGTATGGCTATGAAATGTAGTGATTTACGTAGGCTGCTAGTCTGCTTCAGATATTACAGAGCTACACGGTGCATAATGTTATAAATTATATTGCTTAATAACCTTGTTTGCTTATTGTAAGATTAGTCAGGTCAAGGACAAAGTAACAATTAAGTATATTATCAAATGTTAGCCATCTCAGCACACACCTACTGCTGAACCAATCTACAAAGATAGTCAGCCAATCTATATAGTCAACCCAGCACGAGCGTCACGTATACCGCCTGCACAAAATTAAAAGCAAGACGAGTTCTGACTAGATCCCATAGAAATCAAAAGTTACGCTGGAAGGGTATGATGGTGTTAGTGCGGTCATTGGCGAACTCTTTACCACAAGGTAAGATTGTATCAAGGGCCGAGGCGAATTGTCCTAGGCTATTAATAACGTCATCATAAGAGTCGATGATGGGTAGAAGGGCTAATGTCTGGGATCTAAGGTACTTGATATCCCGGTAGTTTTGCGTGATAATGGGCATGATCCAAGTTCGCATGGTCATGAAGGTCTGGGACATGGGGTCAGACCGATTGATTTTGCGGGTTTTCTTTTCAGAGCTCTCGCAGGGCTGGGTAGTTTTATCGTGAGCTTGAGGAGGATTGATAGTAGACATGAACCAGCGGCGGAAGCCTGTTAAGTTCGAGACGCTAGACTCAGATTGCTTGGGCGGACGGGTGCAGTCTTCAGGATTTTTCTTGATTTCGGCAAGCTTCTTTCTGACTGCCCTTCTGATCAGTTCCGAGTCGTAGTGTCGGAGAAACAGGACCATTGCAATGTTGCTGTTCTTCCATTCAGCGAGGGCTATCTGGATGGGGAAGTAAGCCAGAAAACTCATCGGGGGTCTGGTGATATCGAAGAACGATGCGGGTCTATTCGTCCAGTAGTAAATGAGATCATCAAACAGTCCGTCTCGAGGAGGACAAGGTGAACTAATTCCCTCGCAGAAAGGGTCGGATAGCCGATTTCCCTCGTCGGGTAGGACAGTACCGGTGGTGTCTCCGTTGCCAACCTGGAAGAGTTGACAGCCAGAGGTTGTAATGGGACGCACTGCACTACTTTCTGGGGTGAGTCGGAAACCACCATTGAGGACTGGAGGGTCAACTAGGATCAGGGCTGTTGCTGTTAGCGTTTTATTTCAGAATAAACAATGCTATAATATATAACGATAGACATACCAAGCCAACCACCACTTTTATAATCCTTTATCCAGACGGAGCAGCGATGCTAAATGAGCGCATTGAATGTGTTTTCTGGAGTTGAATGTAGAAGGAGGGCATCCCTATCAACGTTTATTTGCCTCACATAATTCTCACATTCAACAGATCCCTGTACGCCCTCCAGCGTAATGGCTCGAGGGTAGTGGCACGTAAGGGACTTCTGGCATGAATCATCTGCATATTCCAACATCGGTCTTTTGGAGCAGCCATTGCGTCCAATATGAGCATTGAAGAACAACGGATCAATATCCAGGGTCGAGCCCAGAATTTCCACGATACCACGTGGGATATTCTCGACCAGTACAACTCGGCAATACAGCGAACATGGCCCTGCAATATTTGTTTCTTCAGAGACAAGGTCGCGCAACAAGCACTGATGGTCAATCTTGCGATAAACAGGTGGACAGTTCGGATGGGTGAACTCTAGCACTCCCAGTCGACTAGTTTGTTGGTCTGACCGAGGAGTGCTGAGGAACTCACAAAGCGAGTCCAGTGATGATGGGTTCTGTTCGTTTTGGTTGATCACGTGGGATCTGTAAGAATGCATGTTAACGATCTTGTTGATGACAATGATGGAACAACTGTTTTCAATCGAGCTGTGAAGGTGGCAGGAGGTAGTGTGGTATACTTCCTGATGTGGAGGTCTGTATGCTCTTACCAGATTTGGAAATGGGGTAGTAGTATTTATGCATTTAGCATGCAACAGCACTCATTGAAAAATGTGTATATTTGCGCACATTTTAACTTTGTTTCGAAGATCTAGTATTCTTGGTTTGTTTTGTTGGCAGCGACTTCACGGAATCTTCCTATACGAAAACATTCAATTTAATTGACTAGCAGAATTGTGTCATCTTCAATTCATTCGTATAAACACCAGATTTCTATCTAACTTTCGACAAAAGCGCAAGATCCCATTCGACGGGCTGTGACTCATGACTGCACTCAGGCTCTTTCCTAGAAAAAAGCACGCGTGGGATCAAGTTGATATTACCGGACCGGATAATACCAAGAAAAATCCTACAACTAAGCGGAAGGTACAATTCGCTACGCTTTTCTGCAAAACAGTTCAGTAGACAGGTTGTTATTATTAGCTATACCCGTACATCTCCATTATTAACATAGGAAACATCGCCATTATTCCATTCAGATCCCTGACCCCTGCATTTGCATTGTGATATAGGGAAACCCTTCAGGAAAAAACCTATACCGAGGTCATCCTGAACATTGCATCCCTCCATCGTCCGGCGACTCTGTGAGGGAACTTGATCGGGACGATCCCAGGCGCGACGTCGAGAGTCGCGCTTCTCGGTGATAGGTTGGTCGTTTACAGACCGAGAGTCTCGAGCTAGATTGCCAAGTCGAGTCAGATGGGATACCATAAACCGGCACTATGTTATGGATGGGATACTCACGAGCGAGTCAACAGCGTTCAGGATCTCTCCAATGAGACCGGTGCTCTCGGGGGGGTAGTAGGATCTCTTGCTGGAGCTGCCGCAGTCGGCAGACTCGAGGTTCTTGGCAGAGTTGATCAGGTTCTGGGCGGCCTGGTACTTGGGAGAGCTGGTGTCGGTGGCCTTTGCGAGACGCTGCTCGTAGCCAGAGACCTCAGAGCTGACATCGCTGCAGCTCAAGGCGCCAGAAGCGGAGGGGATAGCCAGAGCCGAGGAGGCGAAGAGGGAGAGGAGGGAAACAGAGATGACGGAGAAACGCATGGTGTCGGTTGTAGTGGTAAAGATTAGTTATAAAAACTAAAGTAGAAGTGTTTCTTTGTAGAGGATTGGAGAGATAATGCGATTGTGATGCTGGATGGAATACAGACAGAAGGGCAGGAATCGAGGGCCCTTTTATGCTGTTCCCAGAGCCCATGGCATCATGGTCTGGATACTTCGGATCACTGAGCTCCTCTCATCCGAGCGTGAAGATCCTCGAAGAAGCGCAATAACGAGGTCAGTGCTCTGCTCTACTCACGTTGATCCTCAACAGAATCATCACCAAAGCCGTATCGGACTCTGGCATCAATGCAGCAATGGACCCATACGGCTCAGCATCGCTGGCCATTGTGAAAAAGAAAATAGCAACTAGGCAAGCTAAACCCCAAACTACTGCGTATAGATCTCATAGTCCAAGCCATTGGCATCGTCTATTGGGCGATCCCACACGGACCAAGTAATTAGGTAGACCAGCTCGTGGTAGCAAGACAGCGTACTCTGCAAAGAGTGGAGATGTTAGGCAGATGAGAAAGGACACTGTCACTTTAGCTGCATGAACCATTGGATCTGCGCAGGATCCACGGCTCCAGCCGACTGCAAGATCGAGGGATTCACAGGAGCAATGGACACGAGAAGGCGAGGTGGCAGTGATAAGCTTTCAGCCCATTGGAGCCACTCCCGGGTCGGGCTTAGAGCTTAGATTATGGCGCCTATACATAGTAGCAATAGTCACTTACAACAGTATTTGCCCTTGGGTTCCAGACCAGATTAACAATTGACCGGTAAGTGATAATTAATCACTTATAACTGAGTTTAGATATTTCCGCTCAGCAGAATGCTCTAGAAGGTTGAGAACCATATGCATATTGTACCTGATTGTCAGCAGGAAGCTGAGAGGGAGGTGGAGAAAGGCCATCGAGAGCCGTGATAGATAGTTGACATGACGATCTCGGCTCGGAGTAACTTCGAGGGTCGATCCCGCCTTTCCAGCAACTCCGATCTCCTAGCGACTAACATCGCGATATTGCGCCCTGTCATGCTGTCATACCCACAAGCGACCTCAATTGTTCGAGCCATCCACCGAAGCTCAAAAACAGGAAGCCTGTTGACCGCCCGTTGCCCTCGGGAAAACTATTGATAAATGTGATTAATCGATGGGCAAATGGCACATCAACCCAACCTCCCGCAGTCTTACCATATAGTCAGTCAATTGAATTACTGCCCGCCCAGCCGTTTCTCGTTTTTGCCGTTTAACACGCCGTCCGATGGCTTATTGAAAGCCAGCCGTTTTGTTGCCCAAATCCTCCTTCCTTATTCTTTATTTCGCAATCCTCCTTTGACTCTCCTTCGTTCTTGACGCCCAAGACCAATTGTGCACCCATACCAAACACGTGTGGTAAACAGAACCATGCGTTTTTGATTATTAGTAATCAATTATGTACAGGTAAAGATCAATTAAACAAAGACACATAACCATGATTACATTTACGTTGACCTTATCGTCTATAATGCTCCACTAGGAATCGCGTCGGAAATGTCAACGTCCAGCAGCGCACAAACGACTGCCCGAAGTAGAAAAACATCTAGAATACAGCCTGGAAACAGCCAGTGCAGGATCTTGCCTGACATATCCCCAGGGAGAACTTCACCCACTCCAATACGCCCTCGCTGGGATTAGCTTGGCGCCTTCCCTGCAAAGCAGCGGTGCCACATGCATAAGCTGGTCGCAAAGCAAGGCGACCAGGGTCGTCAGGGTCATTCATTAAATAAATATAAAGTTTTGGGGTGCCGGGTGTGAAACATCAAGGGTGGAATCCAAGGGCATTGTGTGGTTGGGGTACTCCGTCGCTAAGCCGTGGAGTTTGCCAACATCGGCAGAGGCGTGAGAATAAAGATAAGTGGGGTTGAGACATCGTTCGCAAGGGCAGGTTGCGAGCGAGCAAAGCACCGAGAGATGCGCTATCGCGCTTCCCTGATTGGATTAGATGAGATCCCATGACTTAAGCCTTGCGGGAGCGGGTAACCGGGCCATTGGCACGACCGGTCGACACAGCAGCTCCGTTGGACTTGTTGTTGCCCTTGGCGTCAGCGTGCGGCGCAGAGACCTCGAACTTGGCCATGTCGATAACAGCCTGCTTGCCAGTGTTGCGGCGGGGACGGCCGGCCTTGGCAGCCTTCTTGTAGGTTGCGACGTAGAAGGAAATGAAAAGGAAGAGGTAAGAGCTGATGACAGCCATGCCGGAGAAGGCGGCAAACTCCTCGCCGGCGCACTTGCCCATGTTGGGAACCCAGGGGAAGTAAGTAGAGGAGAAGTAGGTGTAGGAAGCGAAGTAGATGAAGCCTGCAATCCGGTTAGTTGAAGCGAGGACGGAGCTTGAAATGGTTACTGACCGAGATCGATGACGAACTGAATGATCTGGAGACGGGTGATCCACTCCTTCCACCAGATACGGATACCACGGGCACTCTGGAAGTAGTACCAGTACATGACGACGTGCACCAGAAGGTTGATGTCAATGACAACCCATTGAACCGCAGTCAAACCAATAAGCTGGGTATAGCAGAGAAGCGCCGTAGCGCCGTGGTGGTAGGTATGAAGGAAGGTAAGAGGCTTCTTCTTGAGGAACAGGAAGACAGTGTCGATGAGTTCGAGGTACTTGGTCAAGTAGTTGAGCTATTCGCGATATCGTTAGCATATCGGATCCGATCGGAGCAATACTTGTCCAGCGCCGTGAGTACTTACGTAGTACAGAACAATAAGAGGCCGCGTCCATCCACCGTCGTGATCACAGATAGCATAGAAGATACCATGTCTCCAGACAGTAGGGAGAAGCTGCTCAATGAAGAGAGCCAAGAGAGTGCCGCTGATCAGGGTGAGGTAAAGATTGTGGATCATGAAGAGAGTGTTGAGCTTGAAGGCAGGTCTGTTCTTCATGAACTCACGGCCACCAAAGATGATGACATAGTAGGCAACGAGCGCCACGGCGGTTTCTTTGAAAGTAGACATGGGCGTCACGCCTTCTTCGAAGCGAAATTCGCTGGCGGGATAGCCCACCACCAGCTCGAAGGCCTTGTCGAAGATAGGCCATAGGTGAATGCCAAACGGCCGGTCAATTGACGGCAAAGGCAGACTTTGCAGGACATCCATGGTGAAGTGAATCTCAAGGTATCAAGACGAAGCAATGTATGCGACAGTGCAGTCGAAGAGAGACAACTCCGGAAGAATGACAGCGGAACGCTCCCTTTTTCGCTTTCTCAACAGGTCGCAGGAATGCGGACCGAAACAGCCGAAGGAACTGGGGGTGGAAGAAGGGAAAAGAAGAAAAGCAGACGAGAAGGAGGATAAAAGGAAGGAAAGAAGCGAAGCAAGCGAGATAGAGGGGGGTACAGAGGAAGGAGAAGAGGAGGGAAGAAGCAAAAGAAGCAGAAGGAAAGGTGGAGAGGGTGGAATAAGAGCTGGCCTGCCTTGCAATGGAAGGAGGATCAATCCGCGTGTCTTTTTTTTGGGCTTCCCGGCGCGCCCGCAGGGTCCGAATGCGGACTAGTGCAGCCTCGGCCAGCGGTTGAAAAGGGGCATTTTGCTCTAGGGCCCGGCGATCATGTGCCTTCCGGCCTCCGGGTCTCCCAGGCACTGAATTTTGTGTCCGCCGCTACAATCCTTGGCTTAATTGCTTTCAGCGTCATTGTCTGTTAATCTTATCCTCAAGCTTAACATTTCCTGCATATCGATGGAGTTGCCAGGCACGTTGAGAGGGGTGTGCCCCAGATGTGCCGTTTCAAATTAGATTGGGATGTATCAATCTGGCCACTAATAGTCGGCAGTTCACTGGTTCCGTCAAACATGTTCGACCTTCTGGGGAAATCACAGACCACCTCACTTTCCCGTTCACATGCTTGGTCTGCCTCTCGCTTAGATACATACTGTCCATCCTTCATCAGCCTCAATACAGACATAAGTAGTCAATCACTCTGGGCAGAAAGCGTGATTACGTGCTAGGGTAGCCTATTGACAAGACATTGAATAATTTCGTCTCAATTTTGGAACTTGAACGGGCGCAAGCTTTAATGGTAAATTGAAACAGATAACCAGGGTCCCTAGGGCACTTGCCGCAACCTTCTGAAACCCGATCGATCCAGATTTCTAATGTGTGCAATGCGCATGGTCTTAGATCTTTACAAGGTAAATTCAAGGTAAAACATGTCTGACGCATTCCATTGGTTTTCGAAAAACCCTGTCAACAAACTGTGACGTTGTACTACTCCGAACTCCGAGTCAAACCAAATAGTATATATAACGGAGACGGCTGGTTCGATCAGTACCTTATAGGAGCATCAGTCCTTGCTACTAGTAGCAGCATCAAGTTTAGATTACATTGGAGACAAAGGATTGATTCAAATTTGAGGCTTGGAGGAGATATAAGGATCGCCACATGGGGGTGTAAACTCAAAGGATCGCAGTTGAAGTCCCGGGATGCGGACCACCAGGAGAACCTTCATTTCAAGCGCGAGTCCCTGAATCTGATACCGTGACCTTGTTTGATAACTTGTTTGGTGGTGATTAGTCATGTTTGTCCAAGTCGCTCCGAGGCATGGACTGACTAGCCAATCAGAACCGACAATCAGGGCACATCGACATCCGCCAATCATCAACGGCATATAGAAATCCGGATGGGGGAGAGACCTGAGGCAGCGAATGACAGCATGCCTATTTCTGCCTGAGGTATCCGTGGACTCGGGCGCGAACGGGAAAGCCGCAAGCCGCAAAAGAGAAGCAGGCGATTATCAATGACGGGCTGACCTGACTACCGGCCTGAGGCAGCAACAACCTCACACCACCCGCAAAATCCTAGCGTAGCCGGCAGAACCTCTGACTTCGAACTTCGTCAACACCTCGCCCGTCCTGATCTCCCCTCACCCACGTCCATTCGTCCACCTCCACAACCCACCCTCCTCTCGCCATGTCGCCCATCTCCGTCTTCCGCGTCGCGACCCGTGCCGTCCGCCCTTCCGGCTTCATCAGAGCTGCTCAATTGCCCCGTCCCCGGGTGCAGGCCCCCGTTGCTCTGGCTATCGCCCGTCCCAGCTTCAGCACCTCCGCTAAGCGCTTCGGCGGTCACCACGAGGACGAGACATACGAGGAGTTCTCTGCCAGGTATGCAATTACCTTCCGTGAAGCCATTGGGTTCCGACGCTCCCTGCGTTGCACGATCCCCGATCTCAGGGCTTCCCACCACCAGCCTCCGAGACAATTCACACATCCTTCCTGATGATACAACACCAACCCGCGAATTCCACCCGTATAACTAACCCCAATATTTCGGTAGATTCGAGAAGGAATTCGACGGTGTCCAGGATGTCTTCGAGCTCCAGGTAAGCTAATATGCCCATGCCGCACGATTCCAATCCGTCCCTATCAATTCCCTCCCCCATATAATCAGCAAAGCTGCCATTGGCAGATGAAACCGGACCGTCCGCACCCCCTTGGCGCCATATCAGACATCATTGCTGACAAGTTACTCTTCCCTCCATCCAGCGTAATCTCAACAACTGCTTCGCCTACGATCTCGTTCCCTCCGTTGAGGTCCTCACCGCTGCTCTGAAGGCTGCTCGTCGCGTCAACGACTACCCCACCGCTGTCCGGATCTTCGAGGGTGCGCTTTTTCCTCCCCCATTCATTACCGTTCCCTCTACATGACAATTGAACTTACGATTTCTCTCTCTATTCCACAAATAGGTGTCAAGGCCAAGGTTGAGACCCAGGAGCAGTACAAGCAATACCTCGAGGCCCTTGAGGGTCTCCGCCAGGAGCTGGGTGTTGCTCTCCGTGAGGAGCTCTACCCCGAGGAGGCGTAAACGGCACGTCCCGACATATAACTCGTCATGTTTCATTTTGCTCCTTCCCCCGTCAATTGTGATAGGAAAGCTGTATACATACTCTAGAGTGCAGTTGGAATCGATTGAAGTCGCTGATCTATTCGGTGGGCCGTCTCTGATTAACGCCATCTGCTTCCGACTTCCTGACTGTCTGGGGGTGGAATGGAGGTGCACGCGTGCTTTTCTATACCAGTGCTACTATAAATTTTGTGAGCATTTATCTGTACTCTGTATTATTGGTGATAGTGCGGAAAATAAGAGGGTGTCTTTTTCTTTTCCATTCCATCAATAATCTGCTTGAAGATGGGCTCAATCTAGATGCTGGAGGGGTTGAACCGAGTTGGATAGTCTGGAGCAGCATGAAGAGAAGAGTGCCCTGACCAAAGCGAGGATAGACGGAAAAGACGAATCATAATGCTAACCCGTGGAAAACAGCAGCATCTAATCTGATGTACTCAGGAGTCTTTTATTGCATCGATAGCGTGAAGCAGTATGAGAATCATGAAATATATAGATACAGCCAAGGCCCGCTCCAGCGATCCTCTTCAAGGTAGCATAACACAACGAAGACTATAAATAGTAGGAACAACAAGAAAGGAAGAATATAGGGAAAAGAAACCCAGCCGTCAAACGCCGCCGAAATTCTGATATTGGTTTTTGAATGACTCATGTCATGAAGGTGTATGTTATAGGAGAATGAAATGAGGCCGTGATTGACACTTGCATTGAGGTGTGCATGGCAACTTGCAACACTGGACGACACGAGATCTCTATTACCGGGGTGAACCCCCCAGGTTCCGAGGCCGAGATCATGAGGCCTATGCGCCAGGGGAACGATACCTGTTCGTTGCACCTGTTGCAGAACCGGTTTCAAAGCCGCGGAGAATAACTGCGCCGCTATTATGCACATATAAATCGAATAAAATGCAGCATTATTTTGTGCCAGCACGTCTAGTGCGTTCCGACATGGTGGAAGTAGCTAGGCCGGCAATCCTCCTTAGCCAGCCAAGATTCACCAGCATACATTTTGCCGGGTGTGCAGCCGGAACACTTCGGCGAGTTGGGGCAGTTGTAGTAGGGAATGTGATTGTAACCGATGTCACGGAACCTGATCAAGACAAACTCGTAAGTAAGATAGCTATCGAACAAGTCGGGGCATTTTCAACGTACCAATGAACCTTGGCTGCGTCCGCGAAGAGACCAACACCAATCGAATGTACAGGAGCATCGCCCCATCTCTCGTAGAAGAAACCACCAGACCGGTCCAGATGGTCAAAGTAAGCAGAATACTGCTCGCCCCTGAAGAACTCCATGTCTCCGATCTCGAAGTTGGACCAGAAATGGCAGGTAGAATAACCATTTCCTCCTTCGGTGTGCTCCGGGCGGAGTTGGTCATCAGTGAGCCAGTTCATCATGTTGTTGTCCGAAACATAGGAGGGGTTTGCGGCGAGGAACTTCTTGGTCTCGGGCCAAAGAGATGGAATACTCTCCGGAGCGTCGAAAAGGTTGATGGTGAAACCGTATGTAATGTTGTAGTCGGCCATGTAACGGAAAACGTCGTAGTCCACATCACAGAAGAACTTGACCTTGGGCTCGACTCGCCAGTAGTAACGGTATTTGGCAAGAGCGGGATGCTGGTAGAACAGGCCACTGTTCCAGCGGCACATCTGGTGGTAGGAGACCTTATCACTATACTGGATGTTCTTCTCCTTCAGGATCTGCGCCGACTCTTTGAAGAGATCCCAATTGATCCACTCAGGGACTTCCCAGTGTTCCTTGGGCACCAGCTCTGCAAGGAAAAGTTAGACAATAAATGTCAGTCGGGTTGGATTGGTGTCTAATTACCGTAGTAGCATTTCGCCTTGGTTTCCGCCTGTGTGCGCTTCTTAAATTCCTCAGTGAACGGCACGTCGTTGAAGAAGATCCAGGGGTAGTTGAACTTGCTGTTCCAGGTGCGCTCGAGATCACGCATGGATGGAATCAGCTCGTTGAGCTCCTCGTTGCGGACGAGAGAGATCAGTGCCGCGCTGGCCCGAGGGGAGTCGGTGCTGTCGGGAGAATAGTCGCCATCTGTCGCACGCCATAAATGACCTGTCGGTTCTCCAGTTGCTGTGGAAATGAGAAAGTGAGTTAGCAGAGGTAATAGAGATGATGCGAAAGAAGGCAAGAGAATGACGTTGGGGGAGCGTACGCTCTTTGAGAGGGTCTGAAGTTATGCCCTCATACGGCTGTGTTGCGTATGGCCCCTTACTAATGAAGGTGGGCGTTTTATTCATCTGGAAGATGAGGAAGAGGATGAGGATGATGCACGAGGCACCCAGCATGCGAATGGGCCTTGCGACAGCCATCTTGCCTGTCAGCGAACCCCGGAGGAAGAGATGGCAGGAGAAGGAGCGACAGGAGAGCTGGCGAGTCCAAGAGGGAGACTTGGAGTCTACTTGAGTTGCTATCGCCGCCGCCGCGACTCTGGATTCTTTGCCGCCTTCCCCCATCGGGCCTAGCGTGACCACATGCCCAAGATGGCAAGTCGTCAGCCATTAGTTGTCTCCGATCTGCCGCCCACGCCGCGTAACCACCTCCTGGCAACCAGCAATAATAATGGTGACTTTGTGTGTTCGATCTATCTAGTCCCCTCTCAGTAGTTTCCGCAATTGTCGCTTGCTCCATGGCCTATCATGGCCGTCGCAGCCAATGTGAGCGCGCTGACAGATGAGCTAATTATAGCCGTTGCGAAGTCCGATAGAAAGGCATTGCACTCAAGCCCATAATGTAAAGCAGATCTCATGCTGACGCTCCTGTCCAGGACACTACACATTTCAGGACAATAAAACGTCGGACTGAAGACACTTTCAAGTCGCATGCTTATGCGCGCACGGATCAATTCGCCGTCGCCAGCCAACTTGAAGGGCTGCAGGAGAAATTCCAAGTCCTTTGTAGGGATGAGTTGGCTGACGCTTTGCGTATCCGACTAACGGAGCTGCAAGAGCACCAAAGCTCATGGTTCCCCGAAATTCTATCTTTACTGCTGCAGCTGGCAGACCGCCCTGCGCAGCGGTCCAGGGTAGATCAAGTGGTAGCAGCCAAGCCCAGAGAGGAAGCGAAAGCACTTGTCTGGGATGAATTGGACGCCACTGGATCAGCATATTGTGGCGAGGATATCTGGGAAGATGTAGATTATGGCGCTGATTCCTCTGATGAAGACCTTGCATCAGTGTCCACTGACAGCTACCATACACGCAATCAACCA